ACTAAGAGAAAAAATAAGTTTGTTTTAAGAACCGTTCACTGAAAGGTTCTTTGAAGAACCAAAAATAGTTCATCTATATGACATCACTGTGAAAACCCCCTTTTGGAACTTTTATTTTTAAGACTTTTTGTAAAACCATGTGTTCAAGCACAAATAAATGCTTTAATATTTTGAATAACGTAGATGCTTGAGTCAGTTCACTTGTATTGTATATCCCCATAAATAAAGGCATTACCCTTAAATACATAACCACCCATATGCTGTATATAATGAAGTGTCTGTCTAGAGCTGTACTGCTAGTGCTTTTGATTGAGCTGTGCTCCCAGCAGGTACTGTGGTAAAGTCTTAATGAGTTCTGCCCAATGCAGTCTCTTACATCACACAAAGTATCAGTGTTACCTGTCTTCCAGAGCTTTGTCCTGATCCCTCAATATTGCACTGTGTATGGGTTCAACAAATGTCTTTATTTAATTTTATCAGGGCAAAGATAAAAATATGTACAGTATATATTTGCTCCCACAAAAAAAGGAAAAGATAAATACTAAAAATAATAATAAAATATTAAATTCTTAATAAGATAAATTCTTAGGTACAGAAGTATCATTAATGGGACATATAATAATCATTAACAATCTAAGCTTTTCAAAGCATGTTTTGTTGTTTGTTGAGTTTTCCACAAGGATTTGAACATCCGGAAATTCCATATACACCCTCTTTACTTCCTTATTCCTTCGTGAACGGTTTGACTATGAGCATAAAGAGCAGAAATTGGCCAAAATTCTTTGGCAACCTGCCTGCATGTCTGCTTATACCAATGAACCTTATTTACATGCACTACTGTGTTTGTGAATGCAAATCTTCATGAACCGACAAATAAAAATGATTTTCATTTATTTTGATGTGCTCCCAGTGGGATGTCTGTGAGAGGCACATGTAGCAAACCTCAGCAGCAAATCTGCTTGCTCAGCATTGGTCTGGCTAAAGCTTGCATATTCAACCTCATGAATAGAAGATGGGCACATATGTGTCCTAAATCTCCATCATCACTTGCCCATCTTATACTCCACAGGTCATCTGAATTCAGCATCTTTAATCTGTAATGAATTTAAGGTTTGAAGTCAATAAGTCAATAGTACTTAGTCGATAGATAGATAGATAGATAGATAGATAGATAGTACTATTTTTCTAACTCGTGTCTGAGTCACGCTAGGGACAGGAAATTATGCAACTGTTTTGCTCTAAGCGCTCTTAACGCTCCACATTATTTATTATGACGTTTTTGTTTCAAGGTTTCATAACATGCTCCTTAAAGGGATGACGTTACAGTGCTTGATTATGCATTGTGTAATGGTCTGAGTATCTGTATGGTGATTTCTACAACTAGAGTGAACTATTTATATTGCATGAACTGTATTGCGCATTTAAGTAGCTGTGTTATATCATATATTCTCTCTTGGAGTAGGTTATATTAATTTTGAAGCTTAAAGAGACCTAAAACTTACTATACAATTAATATTATAATATGTGACCCTGGAGCACAAAACCAGTCTTAAGTCGCTTGGGTATATTTGTAGCAATAGCCAAAAAAACATTGTATGGGTCAAAATGATCGATTTTTCTTTTATGCCAAAAATCATTAGGATATTAAGAAAAGATCATGTTCCATGAAGATATTTTGTAAATTTCCTACCGTAAATATATAAAAACTTAATTTTTGATTAGTAATATGCATTGCTAAGAACTTCATTTGGACAACTTTAAAGGTATAAATATATTTAATTATTTTATATGATTAATACTAGCATATTTAATTTGAAATTGATACACCCAGTTCAAATGCTGCCTGTTTTTTTATTCCTTTCCCAGTTTCTCTTTTCTTTCTCATTCACTCTCTGCAGTGCCCTCTCATGCAAGTGCCCTGTTTTATATTATTTATTTATTTAAGAACCCTATGGACTCCCCGTGGATCTCTGGCACCACAGATTAAAAATTCTCACTGAGCTGAATGGGCCAGGCCAGATCACGCTGTGTGTGGGTGGACAGCACTCAGATATATCAGAGCTTGGATTACACAACATCAGTAATAACTTTACTAATGCAGGCAGTGGTACAGACTACTCTTCAACATGCTTGAGCATCGGCCAAAGATACAAATTCAGAGATATGTAATTTGACACAGTAAGTTCTTGTCTCCGTTTTGATCCGATGAGACTTTTTGGTCATATCCACTTCTTAGATTATTTAATTGTCCTCCCAGGCTGCTCAGGTTTGTTGTTTGTATGTGGTGTGGTCTGTACTGCATGTAAATGTTTCTGGAATGGTTCATTCATTAACTAGCATTAACTAACAAAGAGCAATACATTTGTTACAGTATTTATTAATAGTTGTTAATGTTAGTTAAAAAAAATACAACTGGCCATTGTTAGTTTATGTTAGCTTATGTCCATAATAATAGTTGTATCTCGGCCAAATATTGTCCTATCCTAATAAACCATATATCAATGGAAAGCTTATTCATTCAGATGATGTATAAATCTCAATTTCAAAAAACTGACCCTTGTGGTCCAGGGTCACATATAATATTAATATTTAATCTGGAGTATAAATTTTATATGAATGTAATTAGTTATATAAAATAAAAAAATAAAAAATAAAAATAAAATAATATCTTAGATTATTTAATTGTCCTCCCAGGCTGCTCAGGTTTGTTGTTTGTATGTGGTGTGGTCTGTACTGCATGTAAATGTTTCTGGAATGGTTCATTCATTAACTAGCATTAACTAACAAAGAGCAATACATTTGTTACAGTATTTATTAATAGTTGTTAATGTTAGTTAAAAAAAATACAACTGGCCATTGTTAGTTTATGTTAGCTTATGTCCATAATAATAGTAACATAAAACTTTTGTGTGTATGTTGCTCTCTGGAATACTTGATTCTGATTGGTCAATCGCATTATTCAGTGGTCAAATTTTTCGTCATACTCACTGTACTCATTAAACTCAGCTTTAGTATATTACTGTAATATTGTTGCAGTGTTCGTCTTTTTGCTAGGCCGATTTTAGTAATGGACTTTTTTTTCTTCTTTTTTTTTTTTTGAGGAATCTTTCAGGTAATATACAGAGATAAAAATATTAAATAATTTAATCTCAAATCAATACATCATGTCCACATATTTATTTGGTGAGTAACCATGTAAGCAAGATAAACTTTTTTTTTTTACATTTTGCGATAGTAGCCAACTTGTTTTACATTATCCCTTATAATTTTAGTATTGATAGTTCTATTGAGTGTCGTATTGAGTGATGGTTGTCTAAATTTCCCCTTTGGCATCATCAAAGCACTCATCAAGTCTTTCTGATTTCTTCAGTCATTTCCATTTTCGTGCAATGCTTCAGTGATTGTGAAAGAGTTCTTTGTCTTCTCCTCCTCTAATGTATGCCTTGGTTTTCTCTCCTTCTCCAGATCTTCATTAAATGTTGATGGGGATGAGTGAAACCAATAATCCTTAGACCTCACTGCAAAAACATAGCTGAAAATCAATAGGTTTGCAGCAGTGTGGGAATAAAGCTAGCGGGGGTACGTGGATGGGAGGAAGAGAGAGAGAAAACTCTATCCTATCAAATATTAATCATTCATTTCCTCAAGGGAATTAGGAGAGTGCTGGTGATTTGCTGTCTGACCCAATTAAGATCCTCCTGCATATCTCTCTTAGGTTGAGCGTTACTTCCATCTTTGGGTTTTATTGTCAATAGGTATAGGTTATAGAGATTGAGAGACAACAAGGAGCAATGGTGGTTGGGAGAACGCTGGCACATGCACAAACCCATCCAACAAAAATATGTTCTAAAAACATTTAGCTAATGTTCCCATCAAGTTATGAAAAAAAAAAATTCTGAATGTTCTCGGAACGTTCAAAATGTCCATTTTTAAAAATGTTTTTTTCTTGGTTATGCCAGTGTTACCATTCTATCATTTTGCAAAAATTATTGGAACCTTACTTAATTATGGGGACATAACATTTAAAAAATGTTACACAAATGTCTAACTAAAAGGTTTCAGAAATAAAACATGAATGATGTATAGATAATGTTTTTGTGCTAATGTTTTGAGAACAATTTAAAGGCCAGATAACTTTTTGAACAGGTGTTCTATTAACATAACTGGAAGAATGTTTTTTCATTAGTTTGAGAGAACCTTGTCTGAACGTTAGCCAAACATTCCCTGTTAAACTTTGGTAGCTTTGGTAAAAAAAAAAAAAAAAGTGTAGATAAGCAAGCGTCTGGAACTCCTAACACATGACAGCTCAGAGCATTTCTATTGAATTTTTCTCTCATATCCTCAAGGTTAGAGATCTATTACCCTGTGTTCTGTTCTAACAATGAAATGTAGAACTATACTCTTTATAAACAATTTATAAATAACCAAGACCCCCACAAATCCAGCAGTGGTGGCACTGAAGGCTTTTGTGTATTGCTGTGAGTGTTTTCTCGTCAGGTCTGTAAAGGATGTAGTGAAAGCCATTCAATGCCACCCTGCTGGTCTGTTTATGACCTTGCCTATGTTTTGGGGAATGAGTGTATTTTTATTTATTTATAAAAGTCTCATTTGTATTTGAGCTTTTGAAAAAATACTTATTTAAAGGGATAGTTTAGCCAAAACTGAAAATTCTGTCATTTACTCAACCTCAAGTTACACACAAAAGAAGATATTTTGAAGAATGTTTGTAACCAAACAGTTGACGGTACCCATCGACTTCCAAAGTACGGAGAAAAGTACTACTGAAGTCAGTGGCTACCATCAACTGTTTGGCTACCAAAATTCTGAATTGTGTTCAAAACAAGAAATAAATGCATACCGGTTTGGAACGACACAAGGGTGAGTAAATGATGATAATTTTTGGGTGAAGTACCTTTAATCTTACATCTTAAGTTACAATCACTGAATTTATTTTTAAGTTTAAATTAATTTTGTTAATTGTTTGTCTATATTTGTTCTAGTGCTTGTCCCTAGTCCATGTTCTGCTGCAACCACAAAGAAGTGCAGCTCCATCTATAAAGGGTTTGCCCAGTGTCTGCTTGCCCTAGGAGACAGTCTGTCTGTCAGCTCCCAAAAAGACGAGGATACGCAGGAGATCGACTCTATTTGCAAGTAAGGAAAAAACCTGGAACAACACAAGCATCACTGTATATACTGTACATATACACTACTGTTCAAAATTATATTTTTGAATGAAATGAATGCTTTTATTCAGCAAGGATGCATTCAAATGATCAAAAGTGACAGTAAATACTTTAACATTGTTACACAATAATGGGTGCAGAAAATTCAGTTTTGCCATCACAGGAATACATTTAAAATGTGACATTTACACTTAAAAAATATCCAAATAGAAAATTATTTTAAATTGTAATAATATTTCATAATATCACTGTTTTACTGTATTCTTACTTAAATCAATGCAGCCTTGTTGAGCATAAGATGCTCATTTCAAAAACATTAAAAAAACCTCTTACCCAAACTTTTGAAAGGTAGTAAATATTTCCACATGAATACACTAATGAAAAGAACAGATTCAGATTCATTTTTAACTGGGTTTTGTTTTACCAGAACATTTCCACATCTCCATCATACATCTTAATATAATGCATAAAATATTAGTCTCATATTAAAAAAAAAAAAAATGGAAATCATCATTTTCTTTTATCAAAATATCACAATAGTGATCATAGGAGTTAATTTTTAATTATTTTTAGTGGTAAAACAGCACATGCTTTAACAATGGATTTGACAAATTGTGATGTTTTGTGGTTTATTTGACAACACAGGACACTCCGTCCTGTTCGACAAAATAGCAGAAATCATCATGAATTATAACTAACACTCAAGGGCGAATTTTAGCTTTTTATTTCCATCCTAGATGAGAACATAATTAAATATTTTTCTACTTTTGGAGCTGTGGTGTGCCAACTTTGATTTTCCTGTTTTCCATCCTAGGTTCCATCCTCTTCATTTTGTTCCCATTGTGTAAATAGTGACATTAAATTTTATTTTAACATTAGTCCGAGTTAAAGCTTTGCCAGAGCATATTTCTGAAAGTCTGGCATACTTTTTTATACTAATATTGTCCAAATAAAACATCAGCATATTCATATTTTGATATGTTACAGAGGTCAAAGGGTCCCGCGTAACAGGAATGACCCACCAACACATTTACTGCTCTGTATAGCCACATTAAATGCCTCGCTCACACCACAGGATTATTTGCTGTACACCATTCATTGTGTTGTCACAGAGAGAATGTGATATAGAGTATCACAGTTCACTGATATGACACCTCATTCATTCTATCTCCCTACATTGCCTTTCATCTCATTTTCTGTTGCTCCCTTCTACTCTTTTCTGCATTTCTTAATCAGCTCACTCATCTTTCCGTTTCTCCCAAGTGCTGGATATTCTAATTGAAGACTAGATCTCTCTCTCTCTATTTCCCTGTCTGTCTTTTCCCATCTGCCCCATCATAGATCACGGATCTATGATATGACTTTATATTATGTCACACCCTGTAGCTGCAGGAGCTCTTTAAGTATTCATTGTGTAGCAGCATGATGTTGTTAAAGAACAGCCTCCTGTATATCCTCCAGTCAGACTCAATCCGTTACACATCACCCATTTACTGAATGAATCATGATCCACGCAACAGCCTTATATGGTCCTGCGTTTAGCATTCAAGGCATACACATGCAGGCAATGAAGACGGTGCTTACTTTAACACAGCTAGCGTTATTCCTCCAGGTACCAATTAAAACCTCCACTGAGCTCACTGTTCGCGTGCACATATGCATAAACACAGGTATGCACGATCTTGCACACGTTCACACACGGGTTCTCGGGATATGTATCTGATCATCTGTCAGGGGATCTTTTGGAACAGCAACATTCTCCCACCAGATTGCAAAGTGTCAGGCTTAAGCCAGAGATCTGTGAGGAACATTTAAGAAAAGAATTGGTAGTGAAGGACATTTGTGGCGTTGAAGGACAGACTTCCACTAACCGCACACAATACATCACTGTTTAATAGGTAACAGTCTTGCTGCGCTTCAGTCTATTTAAGAACCGGGGTTTTAACTTAAAAGGGTGTTTCTTCAGTGGGAACTTTTATGTCCCTGAGGTTGAGTTTTATCAAAACAGATTTTTTTTTTCTTTTTGTTATACGAAGGTCAAAAATGAAACTTGTGAAACTCTTGGGAACTCTTACTTTTTGCCTACATCATTTATTTCTGCTACTTTTTGTGTGTAGATTGTTTTACTCAGACTTTTAGTGTTAAAACATGAAAATCCATCATTAAAAAAAACGAATATTACAAAAAATTACATTTGAAAAACTTTGATGGTAAAACTTTAGAATAGGAAACACATATTCACTATTAACTAAGAGTTTTCCCCTCAATAAACTCCAGATTTGCTAATTAATAGTTAATAAGGTAGTTGTTAAGTTTAGGTATGTGGTAGGATTAAGGGATCTAAAATATGGCCATGCGGAATAAGGCATTAATATGTGCTTTATAATTACTAATAAACAGCCAATATGCTAGTGATATGTATGCTATTAAAGGGGTCATATGATGTTGCTAAAAAGAACATTAAACTTTTATAAAGAATATCTCTTTGGATTTGAGACTTTAGTCTTTGCAACTTTACAGATCTTCTTTATGCACCAAGAGCTTGTAACACTCCAAAGACAAAGGAAAAATTGAAATCGCATCATATGACCCCTTTAAGCAACTTGTTAGTAGTGAGAATTGGTCCTTAAAATAAAGTGTTACCACGATGATAATTTAACAAAGAGTAAAATAATCATTAACGATGATTTACTGTCCATCAGTTGTTATGTTATTTCCATCACTATCAATAATTTTGATGATTTGAATAATAATGATGTTTTATCAAAAATTGGTGTACTTGGTTACCAAGGAGACAACAGGCCAGAGAAGAGCAAGATGAAAATATGAGATGAGATGTGTGAAGAAAACAAAGGAAAATCTGAACAGAATATTTTTATTTATCTTAGAACAGGCTGTAATTTTGTCTTATTATGAAAAAAAAGTGTGAAAATATTTTTAATTGTGTATTTTTTGGGTACATAAAATGCTAAAAAAAAATTGCAAATTTCCACCACTATAATTTTTTTATTATTACAGAATGCTATTGTCAAAGAAATATAAAAAAATGGCAGGAAAAAATGTTACAGAATTATTGTTCTGTATCCTTGCATCAAGCTTTTTGCTTTCACAAAAATATTTTCACTCGTGTTTTACCTGTTCATCGTTATTTATGCTTTAATTATTTATGCTTGTTATTTATGCTTCTCACTCATTAGCTTGTAGATTAGTTATTAATTATCCAGAACATTTAACCTTATGCTTGTGTCTGTTGCAGATCCTGGGATGATTTTCATGACTGTGCAAATGTGGCCATGGCCGGCTGCCCTGAGGAGGCTGCTGTGGTGTGGGAGTCTCTGAGACAAGAGTCCAAAAAGATGCAGTTTTCTGGAAACCTGTATGAGATGTGCTCCAGTCGTAGCCAATCAGCAGCTGCCTCTGATTCCCAAAGCCCCGATGAGACCAATCAGGAGTCGTTAAAGGGATGCGCTAGTCATACAAGCCTGACCTTTCTGACCTTCTGTTTGCCTGTACTACTACTGTTTCCATGGATATAATCGCATCTCAAGACTCACCTCAGAGTTCAAATATTCAGCACATAAGACAACGATACTGACTGGTTTGGTTATGACATTTTCATGTAGTAGAATAAGATTAATTTTATGCTTCAAATCAAATTTTTCAGAACAAAAAGAATGAAGAATTTCCACACAAAGGACACTTGTTTTCAACAAACACGTTTTCAGGTCCAAACGCTTGCTTCTATTATTTATTTTTTGTTGATTTAAAATCTTCTTAAAATAGCAAACTTCATTTTAAGCACAATCAAGGCACACATTTCATTCATAGGAGGACCAAAATGCACCTCAAACGACTCCAGGCCTGACAAGGACGAATCAAAGATGGCGAAAGACAATTCTAAACATTTGAACCCCTTCATCTAAGAGGAAATTAAAAGAAGGTCTACTGCAATAGATTATCACATTGGTGAGCTATGAGTATCAAAGCAATGTAAAGAGCCCTCAAAAATGTTATTATTTCACTCTGTAGTGTAATCTTCTTTTGTAGGATCCTGAGAGGATTAAGTTTAAGGATTACACCAAATAAAAGTAAATCTAAGCAACACGGCTCTGGGAACAGGCTTGTCAGACTTTGCAGTCTATAGTCTGAATGCCTTTGGGTGACGGTTTAAACCCAGTTTATTAATGACGGGTTCATTGATTCAGTTTAACGAACAGCACAACATTATGCTTCAAGGTGTTTTTGTACTAGTCTGAATCAGTATGGAACTGCTCTTCATTTGATGTCGGTCAGAGTACTGTGTATATATTGTATAGTCTTACATTACCTCATAGCTACATTTTTATTTTTTCAAATATGTGTATTTGTAATAACACAAGAAATGATGGATTAGCTTAAAAAGTCATGATGGTACAGTAATGTAAAAATGACCGATATGCTTTAAAGAAGATCTTTATGTGAATAAGTATATTATATGAAACACATTATCATTTAGTGCATAATGAACAGATGAGGCAAATCAACGGAGGTGAACTCATTAACATCAATAAGATCAAATTGTGAATGATTATCACCATAAATATGAGCATACAATGTATTCCTATGGATACATAACTTTGTGTGTAAAGCAAAGTTGTTTTTTTCCCGGATCAGCTTTCATTACTTCCACTCAATGCTTTGCTATGCTCCGCTCAGCAGATTCCTCAGTCAGTGTGAGTTATGTTTAATTTTTAGGCTTAATTGGCAATCAATCATGTTTGCCACTGCAGTGAACTTATTAAGGAGGGCAAACGCCATTTATTTACTTTAATAGGGGAGGGTTGCCACTTATGTCTCAAATTTTGCTTTTGTGTGGTAGACTGACTATCAACACGCTTTTCTTCAATTCCAAATTAAGTTCCAGTATTGTCATAGCCAGTGATGTAGTACAATCTAATAAAAATATGTCTAAATAGCACAGTAAGGGCTAATATGTACAAATTGTATGTGTACATCACTCCTTGCTACATAGAGCATATTAATATCTCCTTTATTTATAATCTTTAATAATATATGGAGGCAGTTATAATTTTCTTGATAGATGCATTTTATGAATCGCATGAAAAACAATTGTGTTTTCTCTTTTTATTTTGATATTATATATTGCTAATTGCTCACCCATTTGAAGCTGTGCCCTGATGTCTACAAAAAAAAATTTGAAGACCAATTAATGGTCTTCTAAAAATGATCTCACATTGTTAAAGGTGTCTGAAAGAATATTTTAAATGCTTCTTGTTTTCTGTCTGTCTGCACAATTATTTGCTATACATACCAGTATATTCTATACATTATATAAATAAAACTATTGCTATTACATAAATAAAAAGTGATGGCTGGTAAACTTGTTGAAAGTAACTGGGATGTTTCCCTACTTTATGCTATATAAAAACGTAACTGTTTTTACAGCTAGCAGAATGTGTATAAATCTCTAATTCTCACTTTGGATGGCATTTTTTTTTTTATTTCTCTACCTCTTCCAGATATTAATAATCCATGTGCCACAGATGCCTCTGTAAACACAGACACACCTTCAGTTAGCAAGACGGCTGAATCCTGCTCATAACATATATATCAACACTCAACGGTGGTATGAGAACAACCATTTTTGTGGGCATTACTATGTAACATTTCTCTTGAAATCATGAATTCTGTAGGTTTGTACAGAAAACATTAACAAATGTGTTTTGAAAATCAGTGTAGTTGATTTTATTGGCAAAGTACAACTCTTTGGTTCGTGTTGTAGTAGGGCAGCTAGAATACTTCTCGATGTTAAGAGTTTAAATTGGGTCGGGGCTGTTTTAATATTTAAAATACAGTTCGTTAGGCAACATCACACAACGTTTTCACCATTACGACTGTTTAATAGTTCTATAAACAGTTCAATAAGCAAATACAATAATATTAGGTCACTTACATTTTAGGCGGGAACACAGCGCACCTCACAGCAAACAGCCGATTCATTGCTGATTGATTCCGTGTTTTGAACGAATCGGTTTCAAGAGTCAAAGTTTCATTAGCCCATGCATAAAAATCTGATGAATCAGCAGTTTGAACGAATTGTTTGAATGAACGACTCAATTACTCACTCATTAAACGCTCACTACTGGCACCTACTGGCGTTTTAATTTC